TCAAACGCTTCCCCCGGGGGGCGGGGGGGGGGGGAGCCCTTTGAGAGCTCCGAAGGCTCCCAGCAGCAGTGGTGGCAGCTGGGGGGACCTCCAGATACCTTCCAGGGCTTCCCCACCTGCGTCGGCGGGGGGGGGGACAGGAACTTCCAAGAGGCCTCCGGCAGTGGCAATGGCGGCAGCGAGGGACCTCTGAGAGGCCTCCGGCAGCGGCGGAGAAGCCCTCGGAGGCCTCAGGCAGTGGTGACGGGAGACCCCTGGAAGGCTTCAGAAAGGTAAGTTTAATTTTTGTTAATTTTATTGATTTTTATTAATTGGGGGGGGGTTCTTGGGCCAGATTGTCCTTATTTAATGTATTATTGTGTATTGCTATTGAAAAGCAGGAAAGTCAAACATTTATATGAATGAATGATTTCATGCTTGCATTATTTGGACAAATGTTCAAATTAAAATTCAAATAAAACTGCTTTAATAAAACCAAACAGGGAATCTGTGTGAAAATGAGGTTGTTAAGATACAGTGGACCCTCAACGTAAGAACAGCTCGACGTGCGTACTTTTTGAGGTACGGACTTCTCCGGCCGCAAGATTTCCAATTGACTTGCGGCCGGAGAATCGACCTACGGACTGGAAGGGGGAGGCAGGGAAAGTGCCAAATTCACATTTGGCACTTTCCTCACCTCCCCCTTCCAAGTCCGTAGGCTGCCGATCGTGCCTCCAGATGCCTTCCACGGCTTCTCTGCCGCCATGAGAGGCTTCTCAGAGGTCGTCCCCCCCCAGCAGCGGAGAAGCCCTGGAAGGCATCTGGAGGTCCCCCGCCGCCGCTGCTGCTGGGAGCCGCGCCACGCCGGATGATTCCAGCCATGGTTAGACTCTTGGACTTCACCTGCTGCCGCCACTGCTGAGAGCCGAGCCATGCCGCGCTTGGACAGCAGGGTAGGCCCGGTCCACCCTGGGAAAGCCTGCATCAGCGGGGATGGGGGACCTCCAAGGGGCCTCTGGCAGTGGCGGGGAAGCCCTCAGAGGCCTCGGGCAAAGGCGATGGCAGCATTGGGGGAACCTTGGAAGGCTTCGGACAGGTATGGTGTTTTTATTTTTATTTTTTCATTATTTTTTTGTGCGGGGGGTTTCTTGGGCCGGTTACAGATTACAGGGTTTATATTTTTGGGGGGGGGTTCTTGGGCTTACAGATTACAGGGTTTTCAATGCATTCCAATGGGAAATGGACCCTCGACCTATGGACTTTTCGACCTGTGGCCACCATTCCAATACGGATTAATTCCGTAGGTCAAAGGTCCACTGCACTTGTTTGTTAAATCCTTCACAATCCTGGCCCATCTATGATAAGCTGCATGCTGGTGTGCACTGCCCGACTGTTCCTGTGGGTAAACGAAGTGACTAAATAAACCATGGACCTGTAGGTTGCTGCTGTGACATTCAAACCTGGCAGGAGCTGGTCCTCTGGATTGTTTCTCTCCCATAAACACAGAAGAAAGAATCCACAATTTGATTTTAAATTGTTTCTCTAGTTTGCTGGGAGAGAAACAAGACAAAGCACTAGCTCTTGCTGGGGCTGGTCTTAACGTTAAACAATTGCCAGGAATCATCCAGTATAAAACAGTATGGTGCCTTGCATATGACAAGCCAGAATTCTCAAGAACTGTAAGTACAGTATTCAAACATGCCTGCTGCATGCAGATTCCAACCAACTCCTGCAATAAAGAGCTAAGTTGTCTTGGGACTTCTGGAAAGTGGTGACAGGAAGGCCTATTCTAAGTTCAACAGGGACACATGGTCTAGCTGTTTTCTCAAAACAGGAAGGGTGAAGGCCAGGCCATTTAGTCAGGCAGCACAGACAAGCATCGTTCATTAAAATGTCCTAGTCCCCCTACTCTCTCCAATACAAGAATGTTCACAAGCACTAGTTGTTAAGAGATCCCTTCTTAAACCCCAGGGCTATCTGTGAACACAGTGACATTAAATCCTACCTACATAACTGCTCATGGTGCACCTAAGTACTGTAGTAAAAAACAAGTTTACAAATTACCTTTCGACATAGTGAAACCTACATAGTAAACAAAATCTAGACAGCAAAGTAAGTTGCCTTCCTATGAATAACAACCATGTATTCTACTACGGGGATGCCTGGATTTCATCTCTGGTCTTTACCAAACATATTCTATAGCTCAAATTATTACTTTCACATAGTAATAAAGAAATTACACCAGACGCTGTTCAATATATGCCAAGACTAACTATATAACCTTGTTACTCATTGGCATTTCCTAATAAATACCAGTATCCCAATAGATTTATTTATGACTCCACCCAAAATTGCAATGTAGCATATTTTTCCATGTATAAGACACCCCCATTTCTAACCCAAAATTAAGACATCTAAGCAAGGCTTAGCAAGTGGAGGGGGAAAGGGATCAAAGTGCTGCACGACTGCTTCAATCCCTTTCCCCCTTGTGCAGCGCAGGATTGCTTTAATGCCTTTCCTTCTCCACTTGCTAAGCCTTAGCAAAAGGAAAGCAAGTGAGGAAGATAAGAGGAATGGAAAGGGAAATAAGGGGCAAGGGGTGAAGTCGTAGGGACAGGTGCTTGAGGGCTGGGAGGGTGAGTGAGCAAAAGGACTGGTAGCATGTGAGAAGGAGAATAATCAGGCAGGCAGGCAAGTGAGGGGGCTTAACTAAGCCAAAGAGAGGATAACCAGGCAGGAAAGGGGGCAGTCAGGAGAGCAGGCAAGATGGTGAGCGATTGCTTCGATCCCTTTCCCCCTCGTGCAGCGCGGGATTGCTTTGATGCCTTTCCCTCTCCACTGAATCAGGTGGGCAAAGCAGCAACTGGACTGAGGAAGATAAGAGGAATGGAAAGGGAAATAAGGGGCAAGGGGTGAAGTCGTAGGGACAGGTGCTTGAGGGCTGGGAGGGTGAGTGAGCAAAAGGACTGGTAGCATGTGAGAAGGAGAATAATCAGGCAGGCAGGCAAGTGAGGGGGCTTAACTAAGCCAAAGAGAGGATAACCAGGCAGGAAAGGGGGCAGTCAGGAGAGCAGGCAAGATGGTGAGGTGACCAGGCAGGTGAAGGAGCAATTGGGCAAGCCAAAGGGGTGACTGGGTAGGCAAAGGAGCGATTGGACAAGCAAGGGTGACCAGATAGGTGAATCAGGTGGGCAAAGCAGCAACTGGACAGGCAAAGGGGCAGGCAGGCAGGGAGGTGAGCAAGTGAGGGGGTGAAGTGACCAGGGAGTGAAGAGGTGACTGGGCGAGCAAATAAATGATCAGACGAGCAAGAGGTTGTAACCAGGTGAGTGAAAGGGTAACTAGGTGAAAGGGTGAACTAGGTGAGTGATGAGTGAGGGGGACAACTGAAGGGGGTGATCAGGCAGCTGCTAGTTTGTTTTTGTTTTTTAAAATCCTATTTGGTAAAGCACTACATCAGATAGAAGTTTTTTTTTTTAAGTGGATGGGGCATTCACATCCACATCCACCCCAAAATAAATGGAACTGCGACAGAGGTGCAGAAAACACTGCCATAGTGCTCCACGCGTTCACATATGTTTTGTGTAGACTAAAATTCAAGGGTTTGGGGATTTTTTAGGAGAAGCCAATATAACAGTGGGTTTTATTCTCAGTGGGATCAAGCCCTATGGCAGACATCACCACATGCAGTTCATTACCCGAACAAGAGAGGAATGAGGTGGCACTGATTTGGATGCACAAGCCCCTGATGTGGGTCCATCTTGTTGGTGAGCTGAAAATCTAGCTTCATAGGCACCTATGCAAGATTAAAAGGAAACAGATAGGAACATTTCCAAAAGCATACACAGCAACATATATACAAAGTTGTAGTTTTGCATTACGCATTTTTAAAAGCCAAGTTATATTCTTTTCCCTCATAAAAATAACTTTACTACCATAATTCATCCCTAAACTAGACAAAGCCCAAGTTTCGCACTGTTGCCACTCATGCTGTTTTTACAAAAGAACAAATATCCACCTCTTACATAAGAAGATAAATGTTAAGATATGCATCCCCATGTCCTACTGCGGAGGAGAAAGCTGGTGCTGTTTTAAGAGACATAACATAAGGATGCAGACAGGAAAGAAGAAAGTTCAGAAAAATTCAATATTTGCTAAGTGAAATATACCAGTATTTACCAACCGGGGAGAATTACCCAATATTTAAAAATGGCAGGGAGCAATGTGAACACTTTTGAAAAGGTGATCAAAAGTGCTTATCCAAGTTACCACAAATATTCTGTGCAAAATAAACTTTTCAGAGAAGAATGGGAGTATTTCTCTTGTGAAGTCCGCTCACAATCCCTTTTGCACGCATGCATGTATGCACGCACACACGTAAAGGCACAAACAGAGAGCGCAAGGAAGCACCACAGTGCTTATTTGTTATTTATCGTTCAGGTTTTCTAATCAGTCCTTTATTCTAATATTGGGTGGAGGGAGAAGAATTACTCAGCATTATCTTACATCAGAGGTAGGTCACATGCAACGTGGGGGTCACATACAACTTCCCAAGGTCCCAGAACTCCCTTCCCAAACTAATTTTTTTTCCAGAAAAAAATGTTTTGACTCAAAGCATCCCTTTGTTTCCTTTGAGAGACATGAGGGAAAATTATGCAATGTTTTGCATCACCCCAATTTATTTTTTTAACACTAGAGGACACTTTTATTTTTAAAAAACTATTTTTTGCCAGAAATAAATGAAACTGGGGTTATAGAAACAGCTGTTCAAATTTGGAGATGCATGTTGTCATGATTTACTTCAGCAAATGAAAGGCAGCAGCCAGCCCAAGGTCAGAAGCCAGAAAATCAGTCAGAACCAGCAGTAATAATGCTGAAGGAATCACGAAGAGAAGTCCAGGTCCGGTCCAAAGGTCAAGATAGCTCCAGAAAATGCCAAGGCAGGTTGCAAGTAAAGATAATAGTTGTTTCCTGCACTGATTCCTCATGGGAGCCTGCCTTATATGGGGAGTCACTTCATCTGGACAGCCCAAAGTTCTGGAAAACACCAGAATCTGCTGGCCCACAAGGATTGCATGAAGAATTCTGAGAGCCTTTTATTTTTCAAAAAAAAGGTTTACATTTTCAAACCCTGGGTTGAACTTGATTACGCATTACACATTAAAGCTGGAACCATTTCAAGGGGCCGTGGAGTGAGAAGCAATTTACAGGAGCCTTAACAATTCTCTTGTACAGGCTTTTCTCTTTTTTTAAAGAAAGAACAGCATTTGTTTGTTTATCTAGCAACTCTTCAGTCCCTGGCTGAGATCCAAAGAGGAAGTGAACTACACACACAGCTTGCCTTTTGCTTTCACGTGCGTTTAGCACTCTCTCTCTCTGTCACAGTGAGCTTTTTAAACCAAGTAACAAAAAACAGAAGCAAAGAACTGGCTACATGTAGTACTTTTTCATTTTTAAAAAGGAAACATTCTCTTTGCATCCTATCCAATGGTAATAGAAGAGATAAAGGGATACTACCTTGAAGAGACTCTTTGTGAGGGGTTCACATTCACAGAACGTCTCATTTAACTCGGAGGAGAGAAGCATTCAAAGACATGGACAATTTACTATTTGGATAAAAGGTGGTGGTTACTTTTAAGATTATAACAGCACACATTATGTGCATTTGAATAAAAACGTAAGTTTGGAAGCAGATGCTTATACCAATTTGAACAAATTTTCTGGAAGAAAAAGGAAGCCAAGGTCCAATAATGAAAAAAGCACAACATCTGAGGCAGTTCTTTCTTTCTTTCTCTTTTTTAAAAGGATGTAATTAATATGGGAAACTCCTTAATGGCTTTCATGATTAGATTACTCCAAGACAGAACTCATTATACCTCCATGCTGCTGCTCAACTCCACTTCTCAAAATACCATATCCATAACTCAAAGGAATTCTCTGGTAGCTGGATGGAGAAGCTGGAGGTGAACCGATAGGAGACAAAGGAGGAGACTTTGCTTCTTGCTTCAAGATAAAAGAAACAAAGACATAACAAAGCTATGGAAGTCTGGCTACACCACACCGACACCAATTTTATTCAAACTGCAGTAGAACAATAACTCCAAAACAAATTTGTCAAGACAAATTCTCTTTAAATTTTGATGCTGCACATATAACCATTCACCAGTATTTGACATTATCTGACATAATACCAGTATTCCATTTTAACATACTCTGTTTTCCCGAAAATACGACAGGGTCTTATATTAATGTTTTGCTCCAAAAAATGCATTAGGGCTTATTTTCACGGGATGCTTTATTTTTTTATGTACAATCTACAATTCAAATACAGTCACTTCATCTGATTGCTGTACAATGCTAGAGAGCAGGCTTTCACTTAACTAGGGCTTATATTACAAGCATCCTGAAAAATCATACTAGGGCTTATTTTCAGGTTAGGTCTTATTTTCAGGGAAACAGGGTATATGGTATATGATATTTCTGACTCATAACAGTCTAAGAACTAGATATGACATGACATACGGGTTTAGCATCTCACAGCATTTTATCACTGCTATCCTATTTCATTCACTCTTTTTGATCTGCTAAAAATGAAACAAGAAACTACTGTATTTTTTCGTGTATAGGATGACATTTTTGTCCAAAATCTTTAGACTAAAAATTGAGGGCTGTCTTATACACAGAAGTAAGCTGAGGAAAGACCAAAAAGAAGAGGAGGGGGAAGGGATCAAAGCAATCCTGCTGCGCTTTGATCCCTGCTTTCCCCCTCCACTTGCTAAGCCCCATGGAAGCTTAGCAAGTGGAGGGGGAAAGCAGGGATTTCTGCCACTTCCTAAGGCCAAAGCATAGCAAAAGGAGAGGGAAAGCAGGGAAGCAAAGGGCTGCAGGATCGCTTTGATTGCTGCTTTCCCCTCCACTTGCTAAACCATACAGGGTTTAGCAAAAGGAGGGGGAAAGCTTTTGCTAACCCTGTGGGGCTTAGGAAGTGTCAGGGAAAGCAGTTATCAAAGCGATCCTGCAGCTCTTTGATCCCTTTTTTCTCCCTCCACTTGCTAAGCTCTGTGGGGCTTAGGAAGTGGCGGGGGAAACAGCAATCAAAGCGATCCTGCAGCCCTTTGATTCCTGCTTTCCCCATTCACTTGCTAAGCTCCATGGGGCTTAGGAAGTAGAGGGGAAAGCAGTGATCAAAGGGATCCTGCAGCCCTTTGATCCCTGCTTTCCGCCCCTCCTTTTGCTATGCCTTGGGCTTAGGAAGTGGCAGGGAAAGCAGCGATCAAATCTTCTAATTTGGGGTTAGAAAAGTGGGAGTCATCTTATACATTGGGCCATTTTAGTTCACTTGCTAAGCTCCACGGGGCTTAGGAAGTAGAGGGGAAAGCAGTGATCAAAGGGATCCTGCAGCCCTTTGATCCCTGCTTTCCGCCCCTCCTTTTGCTATGCCTTGGGCTTAGGAAGTGGCAGGGAAAGCAGCGATCAAATCTTCTAATTTGGGGTTAGAAAAGTGGGAGTCATCTTATACATTGGGCCATTTTATACACGGAAATATATAGTATGTATTCAAATTTCAGATCAAAAAGTTCAAAATTTAAATTTTAAAAGTTTACTTTGGATTAGCTAGGAATAGATGAGTTTTCATTTTCACAGCGGCTCAATTCATGGCTCAAGAGAGCACAGGGATATGTCAAGAGCGCTCAGTGCAGCAAGCTAGTCACATTACATGATTTCTCCATGTAATTACCTATTTAAAAGTGCACTAGAACACACTATAGTCTAAATCTAACATAATGGGACCACCCAAGAAGTAACATGACAAGGCTTTCACTTCATCTCCACTCTACAGTTTTCTGAGTTGCCAGGAAGCACATTCTGGAGTGCCTTCTGCCCTCCAAAGCAGGTTCTGAAGGCAACAGGTAGGGCTGCATGATTATTCTTCCTTCCAGAAGAGGTCAAAAATAGTTCTACAATGGATCCTAGCTTCTGAAAAGACAGGGCTGCACTTGGGTGAAAAGTGATAAAATCCTGAGAAGGACCTCCTTCACAGATGTTGCTGTTTATGGCCACTGCATTCCAAGTGGCCTTTCATACAGCTGTGTAAATGGATGCATTGGATTAGAAGAAAATGCGTAGTACGAGCTGTTTAGTGCTGATATTAGCGTTGATAGTCGATAAAATAAACAGTTTTTCCATTTATTATCAGAGCAAATTCCATTTTTATTCAACTAATAGTTTCCGGACTATTCTAAACCGTTCCAAATGCTGTTTGCAAAGGACATCAACCAAAAAAATCAAAACCTAAAGCCTTTCGTGTGGCAGAGTTTAAAAACTGCAAAGACATTTTACCTGTTTTTCTCCTTCACCAAATCTTCTGAAGCAATTTTTTTCAAGAGTTGTATGTGGAATTTGGAATTTAGCTCCAGGGGCCTCTGTTAGATGACTGTATCTTGTTTCACTATCACTCTTCGGTGCCATAAATCGAGGCAAAGGCAATTCTTAAATAACAGAAAGAAATCATATGAAACCACAGTATATTAAAACAGGTTCTCCCCATACTAGAAAAAGATAATTAAGGCTTCAAACAATGTTAAAAGAAATCAAAATAATACTGGTTTTAGCAGAAAACTAAATTGTTATTCAGAATATTCAATCTCACACACACACACATACATGCCTACGCACCATCTATCTATCCATCTATCTGGCTTCATTCATTGACCAACTGATTCTTCATGGGGTAGCAACACTTCAACGAGGCATACTTCTAAATGATGGCAGATGACATTTGCTGCGGATTACCAGAGTCCAGATTATTAGGAAAACATATAGGAACATAAAATACCAGTTTGTACTAAATTGAACCATTCGACTATATTGGCCAGTACTGTCTACAGTGGCTGGCAATAGCTCTCTGGATTTTTCAGAAAGGATTCTCCCTGCCTAGACTCAAGAGATGCTGAAGACTGAACTTGTTTAGCATGTACTTTAGCAGGGAGGGTAACACTACATTACGCACACTTTGGTAGAACAATTGTTCTCTTCAAGTGATCAAAGATGCCTGTCAGATTTCTTCATTTTCCTCAACATTTACTATGGTGCATTTACCATGGTTTGCTTTGAGATGGATCACTGGAAGGTAAGCACAAGCTGATTTTTCTATTCCAATTGCTGAGGCACACATCTCTAAGGAAATCTACTGCAGAGGGGAAGTGGATTCAAAGGAGGAAATAAATTTTCTTCTTAATATCTAGTTTGAGCTTCAGATATGGTACCTTCTATGGAGAAAGATTACCACATTTTCCCATTTATAAGACGACCCAGTGTGTAAGACGACTCCCCCTTTTCTGACTCCAAATTAGAAAATTTGATCCCTGCTTTTCCCTTCCTTTTTGCTAAGCCCCGTGGCTTCGCAAAAGGCAGGGAAAAGTGGCTGTCAAAGGGCTTCCTTCCCTGTATAAAACGACCCTCAATTTGTCCCATAATTATTTTAGGAAAAAGTGTCATTTTATACACAGTAAAATAAGGTATGTGCATCTGTGAAGCCACAAGTCTTCTTGCCAATCCCAGAGAATGAGAATTTTGCGTCAGAAAACAATCAAGCATAAACAAAGGGGTTCTTCACTCTGTCCATGCTTCAGCAAAGCTCCCCTTCACTCTTATTTATTTATATTTATAGCCTAGCTTTTTATCTGGAATCATTCAGTAAAAAAACAAAACAAAAAAAAATAGTTATATTAAAGGACCTAGTTAGAAGTTAAACATACAAAAGCCCTCTTCAGATCAGGAAACAATTTTCAAGTAACGTTTGAAAGTCTGGATGAAGCTGGGTCAGTGCTCTCCTGGAAATTATCTTTTGGCTAAAAACATTTAGAGGCCATCATTTGAAACACATCATTAAGATAAAGGAGACAACCAACAACCTGGCTTTCCAATTCTTCCTGTTTGAGGGTTGAATTTTTTTAAAATGGTTTTAGCTCTAATCATTTATTGGACATTAGGGATGGAAACACTGTATTTGTTTGTAATGTTATGGTTTTATTGTTTCAGAAGCTTATTTACATTATATACTCATTCTAGAAAGCAGAGGAAGTTTTTAACCTGCAAGGTGCCTTATAAATGTTTCAGGTAAATAAGCAAGACACAAAATACATAATTTTTCACAAATTAAATTAATTTAGCATAGCAAATTACCATTCTGAATGCTCTCTAATCGTACTGGGAGACCAGATTGTGCAGCAGCTATTAGCTTCAGAGCAGCATAAAACTGAGCACGACCAAAATAACCAACACGCTTAGCACCACACAATTCTGTTATCTGAAAGAGAAAAAAAGGTAAGAGGACACAGACCCCATCATTAAAATACTAAAAGCTTAAAATGCAAAAAAGGTGACATGCTGAAAGTGCAGGTCACATACTACTGAAAAAGAACTATTTTATTCTCATTAAATAATCTGCTGGTGTAAGATATCTGGTCTATATTCTGCATGCTAAAAGGCTACTACATTCAACAGCTAAAATTCTATCACATTTTAACATTTACAAATCTTCCCATATTCTCCCATTAACCTTTTATAAACACATCCCTCCCTGTCTTCTTCAAATTCTCCTTCTCCAGATTCAAGTACATATAAGCTGAAAACTAGTAATACCTCACAAGTAGAGTACTGTACATCCATGTCAATTAATGGAATGTAGAGAGTTGACTCACCAAATCTGCACTGATTCAATGGGCCTACTTCAGTTCAATTTACTACTGAATTTAAACCTACAGACTGTATGTCTTCACATATGCCCCCCTTTGTACATCCATCCTTAGTGGGAACAGCTAGCCTTGAGGGGAATAACTTAATAAATTCCATCCATAGCATGTAGAGAAATTAAAAAAAACAAAATATGTAAAAGAAATAATGTTGGTTTAGAGAAATATCCCCCTTCCCCACAACAATACACTGTCAGAATGAAAACATTTCCTCAAGAACAGAAGTAGAGTGTATAAAAAAAGTTCCCTGTCTTTCATGGAAAGATTATGATGGCTAAGGGACCATATTGAAAAAAAAAGCTGTTTATTTCCTAAATAAAACATGAGATTAGTTCAAGGGAATAGCTTCTCCTCCTCTCTTTCAACAGGAATGGGAAACTTTTGGTCCCCACATGTTTTTGACCTCAACTCTAATCACCCCTTACCACCAGCATGTTGCGTGAGGCTAACAAATCAAAACAACTGTAGGACCACCCATTTTTCTGCTCAAAAATCCACAAATCCTAATTTAAAAATTAAAACAGTTATAGAGCAAAAGCATCTGCAAGATAGCTCATTAACCATACTGCTCTGCCCCAGGCTGTTTTCTTTAGTGGGGTATCAAGATTTCAGCCAGCTGGCAGAACTCTAAACCAAAAACCAAAGGAAACTACAAACATCCAGTGAAATACACTTACGAGAGGTAGTCTCAACATATGGAAAAATTTATTTATTTATTTATTTATTTATTTCATTTATATCCCGCCTATCTGGTCGTGTCAGGACCACTCTAGGCGGCTAACAACATTAAAAGATAATACAATACTATACGTATAAACATTTTTACATAACAGAAATACTGTTTTATTTGTTTGAACATTTTCTATAGACTTCTGACAGGAAGAACATACCCGATTCTAACTTTAACCCTGCAGTTCACAGTTATTTTCAAATAGCATACCTTAAGTTAAAGCTTAACTCCACGTTAAGTAATTATACTGTATTCCTACATTTTAGAAAAAATCCTCCAAATTCATTCTGTTTCCTCCTTACTTTATTTTCAGCTATAAACTTGACAACTGCCTGATTATTAAGCTGCCATCTTCAATAAGATTCTGCTATACTGTAGCTGCCTTGGGTCCTTTTAAGGAGAAAGGCAGGGTAAAAATATTGTAAATACATAAACAAATATAGGATCATTTTGGAATTACCGTATTTTTCGCTCCATAAGACACACCTCTCCATAAGTCGCACCAGATTTTTAAGAGAAGAAAACAGGAAAAAATAATCTGTTTTCTTCGCTCCATAAGACGCACAGACTTTCCACACACACCCCGTTTTGTGGGAAAAAAGTGTGTCTTATAGAGCGAAAAATACAGTAAAACTCAAAACCCCAGTGCAGCAAAATTAAAGTTTGTTAACAAAACATATAATTATTCAAGTTACATCATACTGTCCTCTGAAGATGCCAGCCACAGAGACTGGTGAAATGTTAGGAAGAACAACCTTCAGAACACAGCCTAAGAGCCCGAAAAACCCACAACAACCATTACATCATACTGTTCTGCTGAAAATGAAGCTCAAGGTGGCAATGAAGATTAGAATAAAACAGTACAGGCTATTTCAGTGATGCAATCCAACAACACTGCCCTAATTGGTTTAAAAAATTGTTTTTTGGTTCCTTACCAGGAAGGAACTGAAGAAGGAAGTCTTTTATTTCCCTATGTAATTTCCCTTATTCCTCACATAAGTGGTTAAGATGTCTATTTAATCCACTAATAATATGGAGATATGGAAATTAAAAAGGAAGCTTGCTTTGGTTAGATCCCAATGATCACATGTGCTGAAAATGAACCAAAGCAGAATGATCCTACCCATACCAGAAAAGAAGTAGCCCTTATAGAGACCCAGAAAGGTGTGTGTAGGAATCATAGAATCATAGAAATGTGAAGTTGGAAGGGGCCTACAAGGCCATCAAGTCCAATCCCCTACTCAATGCAGGAATATAATCAAAGCATATCTGCCAGGTGATTATCTAAGTTTTTCTTGAATGCTCTGGGGGATAGGATGGTTCACTGCAGCATTTACATCATCTGGTCACGGTCACCAGAAAAAGAAGGAAACTAATGCACCCTAGCAGCAGACCAAACAGTGGAACAAATATACCCTTCTTCTCAGATGTATTGCACAGATGTTTGTGTGTACAACTGTTTGATCCTGGCATCACACATGATGGTTCATAAATTAACAGCATTTACATTATGCACATCCATCAATATCTGAAATGATTGCTCTGTACAATTATAAAAATTGTGTATATCTGGTACTTTTATGAAACCAATGTATTTTATGGGGGAAAGTCCTATTTTATATATAGTATGACCCCCTCTATCTGCAGGAGATCAGTTCCAAGCGGAAAAATGCAGATGATAGCAAACTTATAGATAGCATGGTCTCTGACTCCCTCTAGTGGGCAGTTCTAGTAACTTCATCTTTAGAAATCTATGTTTCTTGGATTTTTCTTTTAATATTTTCAAACCATGGATAAGCAAATCAGCAGATACGGAGGTCCTACTGTCCATTCGTTTGGTTTATCTTGCACGAGAAAGTAAAGTAGTTATTTTTAAAGCTTTTTATCAAAGCTTTTCAGGGGCATTTTGACTATAGAACAACTTATTGTTTTAGGGTTCATCTTGTTCATGGCAGCTGCGGGGTATGGCATTGCTGCAGGAGGAGGAGGAGGTGAAGGAGCATTCACACGCACTCAGGCACCTCTTTCTGCTGCCTTCTCCACCCACCCGATCACCATCTCCCATAGGACTGATGGGCTCAGTTCACATCACTGCTTTGTCCCCTCTGGTGGTGGAGGCAAGAGGAGGTGGAGGCAAACAAGCACTCTCCCACGCTCAGGTGCCTCTTCCTGCGTCGCCAGATCACCTCTTCACACAATCTTCTTAGGGCAGGGCACAAGGCAACGACGTGAGCCGGAGGTGAGCTCCGGGAGTTGGCAGTCGCACTGGAGGAGGTAATCAGGCGGGCAACGGAGACTAGCAGCAGCAGGAGGTGGAGGAGCAGTTGCCCATTAACTGCTCCTCCGCCTCCATCAAGGGTAAAAATTAGGGGCTTGTTTTATACATCAGGGGTCATATACACTGTAAAATACGGTATTTCTATAGCAGATCCTTTTCATATGAAGGTCTCTGTCTCCCTCTAGTAGCCAGTTCTACTAAGTACACAATGGAATTACATATTTCTTTGATTTTTCTTTTAATGTTTTTAATATTTGTAGACTACAGGTAAGTGAAAGCATGGATACTGATCCCACAGATATAGGGATCCTACTATAGTCTGCAATGTTAAAAATGCCAATCCTCTCATAATTAGCAAAGTTCCTCATTAGCAAGTATGATTCACATTTGGCAAACAAGGTAAAGGACAGGGACCGTGGGGAAAAAAGGTTGCAGTTGTCTTACTCTAAGTGATCTTTCAGACAGAGCCCTTGTTCTTTTTAATGTACCTGATTCTGTACTTAGGTTATTAATATATTCTGCGACCCATGCAACATTCCCCATATCTTGATTAGTACATCAAGACTTCCTATGCATTTCATACCTCCTGATTTCTAGTTTCTGGTTTGTTCTAAGGGCAAAGCTTGGCAAGAGAGAACCTTTCAATGAAGTTCCTTCCCATGGGCACAGCCTCCTGATCACAAGTTTATTTTCAAAAGACACACAAGCTCCAGAAGATAAGTTCCAGGGTGGAAGTGAATTTCTTATATACTTTTAAAGAAAAATTATAATATTTACTGAAGAAAAACAGTTCTCTGAGATGTATTTTCTAAACACGTACTTTGGATATGAATCCTCCTAACCTCTCAACTTCTTCACAACTAACAGAATGTAATCTCTGCCCTCTCTACAAAAGTCCTATGATTTGCAAATGCCAGTACAAACATTGCTGCGATGAAATGATTAGCATGTTTTTCATAAAAGACATGCGGTCAATTCCAGGGCACCAGTCAAATTCTTAACTTGACAGTTCCTCGGCTTCATCTGCTTTGAGGCTCCAGACAGACTCTTGGGGACCCATTTCTTTGCAAAATATTGGTCATTGCTTAACGGTGATAATCCGTTCCAGGAAAATTGCCATTAAGCGAAAACATTGTAAAGCGGAAAAAAAACCCATTGAATTGCATTGAAACCCCTTCAATGCATTCCAATGGGGTCAAAACTCACCGTCCAGTGAAGATCCTCCATAGAGCAGCTGTTTTCGCTGCCTGTCTTACAAGGAATCCATCCCAGAAAACAGCATGGAGCCATTTTGTTTACCCGGTGGCCATTTTGAAACCGCCGATCAGCTGTTTTAAAATCGTTGTTTTGCGAAGAATCAGTTCCCGAAGCAGGGATCCGATCATCGCAAAGTGAAAAAATCCCATTTAGACCATCGTTTTGTGATCGCAATTGCGATCACAAAAAGACCATCGTAATGCAGTTTCGTCGTAATGCGGGGCAATTGTAAAGTGAGGCACAACTGTACTCTCTTCCTAGAAAACCTTGAAAAGAGCTGCACAAGTCAG